TTTTTAATTTGTAATTACCACTTGATCGCACGAATAATTTTAATTTTTAATTTCAAATAATCCTCTTTAGTTTCAAATTAACCAGTTTTAATTTCAAATTACATAGACCTTTATAATTTCAAATGATCGCTTTTTTAATTGAAATTAATTTTTTCCATTTATTAGGTTTCGTGGACCGCTTGACCAAATAAATTATTTTCAATTAATTAAGGTTTTGGTTGAGATAAAAAAGTGAGTGTCACAAGCGGGATTCGAACCCACGCCGCTGCTCTACCACATGAGCTATCGTGACTTCTATCCTCCCGGACACCAACTTCCCATCTCAACCCCATCTTTGGAATTTTCCCTCCTTTTTGCCATATTTCAAATGTCGTGTAATCTATTTGATTCTCGGCGAAAAATGAAATGGCCACGAACTGCTTCATTTTGCTTACATTTATTAGGTTTCCGGAAAGCTGACTTGGTCTGTTAGTAGGTTAAAAAATTGCCTTTTTCAAGGCACACCTATGCACTTCTGAACTCGGCTACCATTGTTCCACCTAGCTAGCCAAGGAATGGGACAAGTCCATCCGTGTAAAATCTTCCTGGTGTTCTCTAAGAGAACATCTGACCCCTGTGGCACACTCACAAGCACTTCCTTCATTTCAGAAGCCTCCGAACTGCGAATTTCAGGTTTACTGCGAATAATCTTTCCTTGAGTTATGATTTTATAATTGGATAATAGCAGTGTTGGGCAAAAATTAGTCATGTCAATCAATGATTAATGATTGATCACTCAGTCCGTTAGTCATGATTGGTAGTAAGTGACTAATTTAGTCATTAGTCGCCATATGTGATTGATGGCTAAATTAGTCATGACTAGTAATTAAATTCGAGGCATGACTAATTTAGTCACAATATAGTTAGTCATGACTAAATTTCGATAAATCATGTTCAAATGGGTGCTCAAAAAATGAATAATACGCTTCATTACTTTTAAAAAATTTTCTAACAGAAATTTATTTCATCAAAACGAAAATCCTTCAACACCATATTTAACAAAAATCAATCTTCCAATTATTATATATTATTATAATAAAATAAAATGAAAAATCCTATAACAAGCTACGCTTTGAAAAGTAAATATGTTTACATAACCGATCAATGGAAAAAATATTTCTTTGGATTAAAATTTATTCCACTTAAAAGGGGAGATTGCTACATTATTTGGAAAATACACCATCTAGGGGTCTTGACTGTAATAAAATAGGCATGTAGAATTATTAAGTAACTTTGGTTTTCGTTTATGATAACAATTTTTGAAGGTTGGCCTTGAGCACGACTCTCATCCCAAAATTTTTATCCGGAGTCGGTTGGATTTTGGTAAGTTGATCATTGTAGCCAGAGTTGGGCAAAATAAAACTAATTCAATCATGATTTAAGAATTTTGATTGAAGTTTAATCATGATTGAATTAGTCATGAGTAAATTAATCATTATATGATTTAGTCATACCTCATGATTGAATTAGTTAGATTTTGCCCAACTCTGGGTAATAGGCCTGGGGTGAAAATAGTTTTAAATTGTACAATAATGTAAACCCCCACATGAATTTTACATTCAGAAAAGCGTTTTAATTATTACTGTAAGACTACATTAAATAAAGTTTCACACTCCTGATGACAGTCAGCTTGACAAAAAAAACTGAGTGTTTTCTTTCTAATTAACCTAATCTCCCTTCTTCTTTTAATATAAAATTATATTGTTGATGGCTGATCACTAATTATATCGGAAGAATTATAATAATCCTATTAATTATAAAAACAATTAGAGTGATTAATAAAAGTTTTGCTCGTTTCAATGACTTTGGTTCTCTTAAGAATTTCATAAAAGGATTCAGGTTTTCATAAAAATCATTGTTCCGAATAAGATTTTTTTTTTAATTCAACCTCGGCTCCCGGGTTACGGAGTTACCGGAGGAAATGTAGGTAGCCTCTGTGCTACTGAAAAAGCTAGTCGACGAGATAGAATCTAACCACTACTTACAGGTCTTCCTATCTCTGCTGTTTTTTTCTTCTCTCCAATCGTTGGGCTACTCGAGTTACTCGACCGGCGTATTTTTTTTTTTTTTTTTTTTTTTTTAAGTCGTCCTATCTGTACAAATTAATAAGTGGGATAAACACTTGTTGGATGGGGGGGGGGCTTTCTGGCGATTGCTGTGAGACTGTTGGCCTCGTCGATTTATGGCATCTGTCTGGTTAGTACCATTAGAACCATTAAAAGTAGATTTTTTTTTCTATTTAAATTGCCTGAAAGAACGATTTTCAATTCGCCGTGAGATAGACGTTATAGAATCGGGACCTATCTCTATACACGGTGGGCCCAAACGAAGCAAAGATACTTTCAGTATTTATAGAAAATTTCGTCCCGAACAAAAAAGTTCCTATAAACATAGGTCCTCAAGGTCAGCCTTACATGAGAAAAACCTCTAAAAACCGAGTTTTTTAAAGATTTTTTTCAAGAATTACTCCCAAATGGCTTCATGTCTCAAAATACTTATGGAAAAAACCTATTTCAACATAAAATTTTGTAAAGAATGAGACCGACCGTACGTTTTTATCTTAATCCGTTGCTGAGACATGATTATATATAATCATCACATTTTTCGAGAAAAAACTACACTTGTTTTAATGGTTTTTCAGTTTTAACATTTGAAATAAATGTTATAGGTAATTAAATTCGATGTAAAACGCCACCTCATAGACACTGGAACCTCGATTTTTGGCCAATTTTCAAATTTTTGACTTCTTAGGAAATCTCTTGAAAGGAGGAAGACAGATGAAATGAAGCAAGACTATTCACGAACGTAGCTGAAGTGAACCATGGGAACGTCATCAGTAGTAACTCAGTTTGCCGTGAAAATGCCTGATGTATGCTCGAATGAAGGGTGCGTATTCATGACTTAGTGAATGGAATGGCTAACATACACCGTATGTATAGAAATGATAAATGATGAGGTGAGTGTGGTGTTCAATCCTTTATAAAATAATAAATTTAAACGAATCAACAATAGGACTCAGCCACCCCACCACAAATGAATAATTAGGTTTCCGTTGTTTGCCATACATTGGTGAATTATCGGAAAAAGTTAGTAAAATTTTTAAACAAGAAGGTTTTAGAACAGCTTTTAGAAGTACGGGTTCACTTAAAAACATCCTCTCAAAACCTAAAGACAAGGAGGACAACTTGGCAAAAATTGTGATATTAAATATATAGGACAAAGCGTTAGAGAAATAAAAACAAGAGTAAAAGTACACTTGCCTAAATCGAGCAAATTTTCGGAATTTAAGGACCATCTAAAAGAAACAAAACATAATTTCAATTCAAATCTAAATACAAGAGTGTTACATAGTTTCAACAAAGGGAAAGAATTAGATTGGTTTGAGAAATTTGAAATTAAAAAATGTAAAATTGAACATGGTGATAAATAACAGATTTTGATCTACCTCCTATTTTAAATATGTACATAAATAATATCAAACATCCAAATAATTAAACTAATTATTTTAATTGTTATTATTTTTATAGTAATTTAATAATATTAAGTATTTAATAGTATAATATTTATTTGTGTTATAATTGCCGCGTTTCGCACGTTCAAATTGAGCGCAATTAAAAAAATCAGCTGCTAATTGGAACGTCGCGTTGGCGGAGGTATCAGCGGGTTCACTTTGGCAATTCATGTCGAGAGACGTGGTTGTGGAAGTCCTTCAACCTGATGATGAGCTAAAAGGCTCGAAATCCGGATCATTGCAAAACAACTTACTGTGAGTAGGAACTATCTTTTTCAAAAGGATTACACTGTATTTCGTCAACTGTCATCGGAATTCGCGGGAATACGGCTGTTAGTAAGAAGTGTTTAATGATTAGAAGCGGTTGATGCTTCATTTCATTGAGCATCATAACTCCTTCTGTCAAACAACTAACAAGTCAAAAGTTTGACAATTGGCGAAAAATCGTGACATACCATTGCCTACGAGGTGGCGTTGGTCTCAATTTTATTGTTCGAACTGATAACACTGAAAAAGACGTTAAAAAAATTATTTCTCGGCAATGGATTAAGATAAAAATGTGCGGTCGGTCTCAATCAATACAAAATTTAATGTTCGAATAGGTTTTTTCCATAAGTATTTTGAGACATGGAGCCATTTGGGAGTAATTCTTGAAAAAAGCCTTAAAAACAGTTTTTAGAGGTTTTTAACATAGAAGGCGACATTGAGGACCTATGTTTATAGGAACGTTTTTGTTCGGGATGAAATTTTCTATAAATCCTCAAACTGTCTTTGTTTCGTTTGGGACCACCCTCCGTATATTGTCCCCCGCTCGTGATATTAATTTTTTATGTCAGCCTTCTTTATATTACATTACATATAATTCACTAATATCTTTGAATTAATTAAGGTTTTTAGTTGAGATAAAAAAGTCAGTGTCACGAGCGGAATTCGAACCCACGACCTTCGGCTAGAGCCGATACTCCACCACTTGAACTATCGTGACTTCATGATTACATATAATATCTGTTAAACAAAAAGTACCTTGAACCAATCGTCCGCGTTTTGTTATCTGACCAAGCTTTTACCTTAAGAAAGTTTGATTATTGTGAAAAATGGCCAATTGTTCAAGATTAATCCAGAATGCAATGAACCGAAGAGGAACGGTACTAGTTTTTCTTTTTTGCCTCGAGAGACACAAAGAAGATAATTGCGAGTTTCACGGTAGCCCTGGGTGAGGGATGACAATTAACAGTAGTCTCTTTTTGCTGGAGAAGTACAAGCCACTCTCGCCCGTCTCCGACGACCACACAGTCAGACTCGACCCATATGAATATTCTGTTCAGGCGGCGCCGTTAGAAAAACTTCGGGGACTAGAAAAAAGATCATTGTTTAGAAGGTCGCATAACTATTATTTTAACAATAATAAAGCACATGCCCGTTGATACTTCTTAACAAAAATAAATCAACATGACTTTCAATAATTTTTTTTTATTATGATTTTTCTAAAGCTTCATATCTCTCAGCAATTTTCTGTCTTCGCTGGTCACGACCCCTGAAACAATGGTAATAAACAGTGTGAAGAGGAATTAAATAATTGTATATTAATAGATATCGACCGAATCATTTCATAGAAATAATACATTTTCATTTGTCTTCCATTAAATTTACCTATAAAGATTTTAATTAATGAGTAATGTACGAAGTTTTTTGTAATAAAAGACTATTTGTTAGAGAATTAATGATATATACATATTTACATGCAACACCCTGTACATTATTTACTAACATTAAATTTTGATGGAAAAAATTTTGTTGATGAGCATACATGTTACATTCACATCCCCCTTCATTCTGACCTCTATTTGAAATTACACTTGCAGCATCCTGTATTTGGTTGTCTTGGTATAGCAACATACAAAAAACAACATTTAATTATTTATTAATGAAGTTTCGTTGAAAACGTTGCGTTGATGAGCGTACATGGTAACATCAACATTCACTAGTCATTCTGACCATCGTATCTATAATCATTTGCAATACCCTGTATATGTAGATATTATAAAACAAAAGTACTCACAAAAATCAATGTTTCAGAAGTAATTAACAAATTCTGAAGGAAAAATTGAGTTGATGAGCATACATATTTACATTGAAATCCTAAAGCCATTTTGATCTCCATTTGGATATAAAGTTGCAGAGAGGAATGAGAACAATGCAGTCAACGTAATATGGTGAATCTCTAATTTTAGTGTAATCATTAAGTTTTCTGAAGCTATCATTGTTTCAAGATTGAAGGGATTGTCAATGAGGTTACATTAAAAAATTTCTGCTAGGAAAGCTTCTGTGATTTCGTGGTATTCCTCGCAATCGAAAAGTAAATGCTTTAAATCTTCGGGTGCATCGCAAGTGGAAGAATTGGGGGATTGTTTTTGTTTTATTTTGTAAAGGTATTTATTCCATAACTCGTTCGGATTCGTTTCATTACCGAAAAGAATCCCTTACGACTCTGGTTATATCTACATGTAAATACCAGGGTGTTTTATTAACATTTGGGAATAACGCCCGGTAGAAAGACCCCTTTCCAGCTGTACCATTAATATATTGCCACTTTTTGGTCCAGTGTTTATTGATAACTTTAGCGCATCGGGTTTCGGAAACTTCAAATCTTGTATGCTGCCGAAATGAGAAGCATGCTTTGCTAAATTGTCCACTGCGTCATTACCTTTATTCCACTATGGCCTCGTACCCAACAGAAAACCACGTTCTTGTTTGGTCTGCTGAGATCGAAAGTTCTTTTAATAATTTCGCAAAGCACATAGTCCGGCTTGGAGTTGTTGCTAAAGTTTTGAATATTCTGTATAGTGTATCGCACTTTTGCTGTCTGACATAATACAGGCCTTGGTAACTGTTAACGCAAATATATATTCAAGGGCTTTTACAATGGCAAACATTTCTGCTGTGAAGATAGATACTGCGTTAGGAAGCGAAAAGATAACAGAATAACCATTTTTCGGATCCAGAAAGGCACATCCCGCTTTACCGAGCAGCGAACCATCAGTATAGCAATGGTGCGGAAAGGATTCTTCGAGGTCTGATAGGAACATTTTGTTTGATGTATTGAGAGGAACAAGGAATAATCCTTTAAAAGCCTCGTCGTTGGTCTGAATGTAATGGCTTTATAATCTAGAATAAAAATAGAAGCGATTCTACTCCTAAACCCATACTGGGCCGTAGGCAAATCTTGGGGATTAAAACCGAAAATGGCCTATTGGCTATACACGGCGGTAATAAGACCTAGAGCAGCCCAAGATCAACAAAAAGTAGCTACCCAAACATCAGGCAGCATGCAAAGACTAGCAAACCAATGTATCACAGAGGCAATGAGAACAACCCCTACAAATGCATTAGAAACTCTGCTAAGCCTACCTCCATTGGAAATATTCATACAAGGAGAGGCTAGGAAAGGCTCACTTAGGAAACAATTAAATTGGAAAAGAACTAAACAATTCGGACATACAACCATAACCAACAAAATCAGACACCCATTATTAGAAATGGGGACTGATTATATGATCCTGAAAACATTCTTCACAACATCCTATAAAGTCTCAACGGACTATAAAGGAGAGGAAAACACAGGAGAGCTTCAATGATACGGTACACAGATGGCTCCAAAACAAACGGAGGAACCGGATCAGGAGTTTTCTGTACAAGCCCAAAACATGAGCAATCAAACTCATAAGGGAAGTACACTTCGGTCTTGCAAGTAGAAATATTTGCCATCAATGCTTGTGCCCTGGAAAATCTTAAAAGAAGTTACACAACCAAAAAAATCCTCATAAGATCTGACAGCCAAGCAGCCATTAAAGCATTAGCATGTAAAAGAAAGCTAAGCATCAAAATTAGTAAGTGAATGCATCCAAAATCTCCAAAACCTGGGGAAACACAACAACCTAAAGATATCTTGGGTGCCAGGGCACAGGGGAATTTGGGGTAACGACAAAGCAGACAGTCTGGCCAGAGGAGCATCTGCAAGACCATACATAAACCCCGAGCCTATACTTGGTATAACAAAAACAAATAGAGAATTCTCTCTAGAAGAATGGATCCAAACAAAACAAAAGAAGAAGTGGATCAACTGGGGTTAGACACAGTGAACTTATGATGAAACAACCGTCACCAAGACCGGCAAACTCACTGCTGCAATTGGAGAGAGCAAGACTCAGTGGAGGGAGAGTGATTAACCGGTCACTAGCATCTGAGAAAACATCTACACGACATGGGCATATACAAAGATGATCCCATCCGCAGATTATGCAATGAGGAGGAGGAGGAAACAGCCAACCATATCCATCTTCGGATGCGAAGCAACAGCTCCATGGAGGTTTAACCTAACATACGAAAAAATGTAAGGAATGGAATAGTATCAGCGACAATCAATGACCTGATACTTCTAAGGAGAAGGATTGAGTCTATTGCACTGAACTAAGGAACTAGAAAAAAACAATAAGCCAGAATGCTGCAGTGCTTGGCTACTACTTCCTAGTATCCTTTTTTTACCATACCATACCATACCATACTGCTGAACCGAGTAAATCATAGGAACGACATCTAGAAAAGCCATAAGGATTGGAGGAGGTTTTTTTTTAACCAATATTTTTTTTCTTTTTTCTATTAATAACGCTAGTTTGAAGAGAAGAGGAGTGGATCTATAGTGCAAGGCTCATGACAACTCATTCAAACGTGAATTGACTAACCTGAGTCTAAAACTGGGTGGTTCTTACGCAAAGAAGGGGTTTCCATTTCAGCGTAGAACTGTTTGACATTAGGGTGCATGTCCCACACCCAGGAAACTCTCCTGGAACAAAAAGAAATTCAATTGATTAACTACTTACTTTTTAATTAATGATTTTTGTCAAAATTGAGTATTTTAATTTAATTTGTAATTTTGGATTTACGGATTTTTTTAATGCATTTTGAGTCTTTCTTATTTAATCTACGTTCTTTACTCACTCCTCTTTGTCCGTACTGTTCTGCCATTCGTTTTTCTTTTCTTTCCTTTCCTTCTCTTCCTCGTGTAACTTCTCGCACAGGTCTTTTATCATCATAGGTTTCCTTTCCCTGTTCGTCATGATGTACTGCCTAGCGTTTAAGAAGATACCTTTGATTATTTGTAAAATCTTATCGTAATAAACTAAACGCACTGTGAAAACACCACATCGCTCTGAGGTGGGATTTTCTTCAGCTCGATGATCTTGTCGAGTTCATCCCTGAGACTGAGCAGTTCCGAATCCGACATCACGCGCTCTTTGGATTTGATCGGCTTGCTGGCGGTCGGACGTTTCCTGGGCCTTACCTGGTTCTTAAGCTCTGCCATCTGATCAGGTGTCATTGGGAGAATTAGCAGACCGACCGGTCCTCCCTCAGTTTTCAATATGGGAAAGTTCTGTACTTCCAATGAACTCGCCCGGCCAAATAGTTTAACTAAGGGAGCACGCGGTGCGACCTAAAAGCTTTTTATTTTTTGTTTTCAAATTGCTTACACTAAAAGGGTTAATAAAATATGTTAGATATATTTAAAAACAATCAGGTGACTTTTTAAAAATCGATATGAAAAAAACATCCATTTGTAAGTATGTCGGGTTCGAATGCAGGGCCGCTGGTTCGAACCCGGGTCCTTTTACCTTACAGTGATGAGCGCCGTGTGTTTTTTTTTTTTTTTGTAATTTCTGATAGAATGTGACATTTTTGTCAGGCAATGAGCTGTCCTTATGTCGTTCCGAGTCATATACTATAAAAGCCCGTTGGGTTGCTATATTAATGAAAAGCAATTCCTTACAACGAAAGACCAATTTTGGTCATTGGCAACCGTGAAGTTAATCTCTGAAAAGACGGAGATACCAGTTTCTGAAATCGTTTACCGCTAACGGTCGGTATTTTTCCTTACCTACCGACCTGATGTTTGAACGTTGTTAGATTTTCGAAGTTAAAGATAGTTTAACAAATATATGCTAAATACCACGCCGACAGACCTGGGATCACCAATTATTATGAATTTTTTGGGGGTAAATTTGAGTTTATTTCCTTGTATAGCGTGTCTCATCTTCTTTTTTGTTGGGCCAAACCCTGAATTCGGAAAACCAAAAACAAGGTCCCAGAGGTTTTTTTACGATCGGACCTGACTACAATTATTTCATTTATCGATCAGGCACCTTTTATAATGTCATTTAAACCAAAGTAAATACGACACCAAATGTTTGTTAAATTTGAATCTTCAATTACAATTTATTTTCACATAAAATGACAGTATATTTTATTAATTATTATTTTTAATTTAAAGAATCCTTTTATCCTATAACAAACCTATCTCAAATCTACAAACCTTAATTTTAAAATGGAATTTCATTCTCGTTTTATAGTTCCATAAAGAAAGGTAAAGAAATTATTATTATTATTATTAAAATTTTGACCACCAAATTAGAAAATACAATTAAAATATTAACACAACTTTTAAAATGAAATATTATTTCTTTTATTTTTCTTTATAAAAATATATACCCTTTTAAAACTAAATTACAATTATTATTTTTTTATTTTGACATCAGAGTAATAAAAATCAACTCACTTGAATAATGTGCACACCAAATTTTTCTTTTTACCAAAAATAGCTGTTTACCCACACAAGCCAGAAAGGGATATGTTCTAGGACTTGAAAAAATAGCCCTTTCTTGGCCCATACTCCTTTCACTGTTTGAGTGTGTGGAGGGGCATGGCAGTTCATTTAAATCTGAACGTGACACCTGTATGGTTCTATTTAAAACTGATATAAAAGAGATTGCAAGCAAATTAAATTCGTTTTAAGGAATAGATCATGGTTCATTTGTATAACCTTTTGTTTCGTCCTTATTAAAGAGCTCAGTGAGTCATATCGATTTATCCATCTAGCATACTATTCAGACTTTTCCTACAGCTTTCATTTGTATGACCTTTAGTACGTATATTCGTTAATATGTATGAAGGTTGGTACAATCCTTTCATATAGTAAATCTATCTATCCTAACTGTTATGAGTTTGTACTTTTTTGATTGAATAATGAATATAAAATTAATACTTCGCTGTGCTGGATTCCGGTCCATTGGCCAATGGAGGGCGCTAGTCTGGTTCGATTTTATTATTTATCGCTCCCATCGTGATTTACTTCCGTCGGGGGCTGTCTTTATCCTATAATTATCGATAATTTTACAGTTGAAAGATGCCTTTTGCACGTCGCAAGCCTCTCCTAGGAGATACGTTAAGCCAACGAAGATACGGCTTCATTTTCTTTCAGCGTCCGTTGCACAAATTGGCACGCCTTTTCCACCCGGGAAAACACTTGTATGGAGAAATCTTCATGGATGCGTGAGAGGTACGTTTGTCTTCATTATTTGGAAACATTGCTAGAAGAACATATTCAATGGGGTAGAAACTTTGCAATAAATAGTTAATAATTTTATTTAATAGTTGAATCTTTTTGCCAACCAAACCTTCCTGCAGACAAGAAGTTGTCTTCTGCCACATATGGACTACAAGATAACAGGCTGTCTTTAGAATCACATCGGGAATTACCGGAGTGTTCATGCTAGTCACTCCATCGAACAATTTTACACTTCCCACCGTCCTACGTTACCAGTTCGATATTCGTGTAGATTTAACTCTCTGGTGTCAGGAGTTTTTATATTATATGAAAATCCTTTTGCAGACAAGACAATATCAGCAACGGACACTAGAATTATTGTTCTAATTCCTTTTTACGTATCAGAGCTAAAAGATGTACTACCTAAAGAAGAGAAGATTTATATGCGAATAATTCTTAACAGCACTAAAGTTTACATAGAGTCTTTACGATCTATCCAACCCAGTCTATTGTGCATCTCCAATATTATCTAGAGCTCCTAGCTCCTCATTAAGCTTAAGACTTTTTACCAGATCTTAAAGCTTTGCCAAAGAGTCCTTCAAGCGTAGGCTTTTCCTCTCCCACAAATAGGAATCCCAAACAAAAGTTGTTCTCCTGTTTCTTCTTTTTCCTGGCAATATCTCCACCGAGTGCCTAGGATGCTGCAGGGACCAGTCAACAGCCCTACTATTATTCTTGTCCTTTCCTATATACTTTCTGTAAAAACCCAAAATGCCAGGGTATTGAATTAAAATTGGAAACTTGATTGGGAAGGCCACATTAAAAACATACATAGGAAAGGCACTATATCCATGGTGCAGTGTAGGAGAATCGTTGGTAGAACATGGGGTATTAAACCATGGGTGGCCAAATGGATATACACCGCGATTATACTACCAAGATTTCTATTTGCAGCCCTAGTTTGGTGGAATGGGCTAGAAAACAAAGGGGCTATTAACAAGCTAAGGTCATTCCAAAGACTAGGTTGTATGATGATGACGGGAGCTTTTCCCACTACACCAACCCTAGCTTTGGAAGTGATAACAAACACTACACCTCTACACATTGAGGTCAAGGTTAAAGCACTAACCAGCTGCTATAGATTAATTAGTGAAGGCAGCTGGAACCATAAGGGAAATAATATAGGACACTCGAAAATTCTACATTTATTGAGTAAGGTCAACAACCAACTACTGGGTGTAAGCGATAAAAAGGTGAAAACACCTTTAGGGAAAAAGTACTTTCAGGTAGTTACTCCCTGTGACTATAACTATAGGTCTGATGATGACCATCGTAGCCTAGACTGCTTCACCGATGGCTCACTCATTAAGGAAAAGGGAAGCGGTGCTGGAATACACATACCTAAATTAGGGATCAGCATCTCCTCCCCTCTTGGTAATAACACCTCGGTCTTTCAGGCAGAGGTCTGGGCCATCAATGTTTGCTGCAGAACACTTATGGATAGCAATATTAAGGGAAAAGATATTAAAAAATTTTCCGACAGTCAGGCCAGTCTGAAATCACTACAAAAAGAGTTATCAACATCTAGGCTGGTAGAGGAAACCGTTGAACTCTAATAGGATTACTACCAGGTATGAGAATAAGGTAACCCTCATATGGATACCTGCTCATAAGGGGCACTATGGCAATGAGGAGGCGGACAGCCTGGCCAAGGAAGGATCAAATACTGCGTTTGTCGGGCCACAACCGGTATTGCCCCACTCTTTAAGCACAGCGAAAGAGAGTATAAGTTGCTGGGGTATGAAACAATTTCTTAAAGAAAACCTGAAACAATTCCCATCCTCAGGGTTCCAAAGAGTGGTACATTATGCCCGAGGCGTGGGATGCAACCTGAAAAGCTGAGCCTCGTGTTCTCGGGCATTTTCTTTTCACGATCCAGGTCCAACGGCATATTTCCTTAAAACCTTTCCTACACCCTTGGAGCAAGATGGGTTTCCATCAAAGCATAATAGTGTAGCCTTGAGTGCGTGGTGAAGCACAAGCTGAATTCGTGTGTTTGCTATATGTCAACTACGCGGTAGCGCGTTCCAAGCCTGGTAGCGCGCTACATGGGATTGGTATCGCAGTGGCCGATGGTGTAGTCACCTGAGTCTGTGGATAAGAACTACAACAAGCCTCACATGATTAAGACCAGTTGTGAGATGACGTGTGTCGCTCCAATCTTGAAAATCTAAACGTGTGATAAGGCCATGAGCCAAGTACTCACGCTAATGGATCTCATTGTCATTTTGATGACACTGCGACCCAAAATGGGAAATAATGCCCTCGATTATTGAACTATTGTTAATCCATTTCCTGACGGATTTTCGTTTTTGGCAGTTTAGTGCGCCGCAAAGATGTTCAGGGCCAATAGTTGTCCTCATCGAACTTTTTTGTTCAATTTATAGGCCTCTTTGCCTTTCTACAAAACAAGTGTAATTTTGTTGTTATCACAATGTCCGACAGGGCTATATTGCAATCCAAAATGGCTCTGGACTTTACTAAAGTTGAAGTTGCTGTTAGTGCCGTCTGACTATCCGAATAGACGACTGTTCTTTTTGTTAGCTTAGCCTTTTTATCTCTTTGGCCAAAGATAAGATTTCTAATCTATGGTTTACTTCCGTAGATACGAACTCCTGATAGATGCCCATATTCCATATTAGAGCCATCTGTATACCAGATATAGTCGGCATTAACCGGGATTCCTTTCTTTCAGGCTGCTCTATCAGGTATTTTAATTGAACAATTTGCATCAGATATCAGCAGAACCTTGTCTGCCTAATTTTTTTACGAAGCTTGAGCTTTTCCCTGCATTTCTCTTGTTCTAACTCTAAACTCTGGTTCTAGCAACTTCCGGCTAACCATACTTATTAAGTTAAGCATCTCTCATGTCATAAAAGTTTAACATTTCTAAAAGTCAGGTATGTTGAATTTCATTTTTTCTGACTTCAGATTAGCAGAACGACAAAACCCAATTACAGATACATTTTTTAAATTTATTAATGAAATATTTTTTGTTTATTCCTCGTTGAAATATGAACCTGAATCCGTTCAGTTTGTATATTTCCCACAACAATGTTTTTGAGAAAAAGAACAACAGGGCCAATCGTAAAAACCAGGAAACGTGTTTACAAGGCAGCCGACTCTAATTTTTATGTGTGCGGGA